TCAGTCTTTCTATTTATTATTTCTTCTCTGTCTCTCCTCCTCTTTCTAGGTTTTGTTTTTGTTTCACAAATTTTCATAGATCACCATCTTTTTGCCCCCCTCTCTATCCACTTATCAAAATCTGTCTACATGGTTATATAATGTGGTTCTGACCTCTACATTATTTTCGTCACATTACAGCTGTGTGTGTGTATATATATAGATCTCTTTATCACTCTTGTGCACATCTTCTTCTTCCACCATTTTCCATTGTAGGTCCCGACTCACTTGGTTTTGTAAGGCGGATTCTTTACAGTAGGTGTCTGTGACTTGTTGGTAATAGATTTCAATTATAAATATAAAGCAATTTAACACAGTCTGCTTGTTTTGAAAATAATATATTAAAAACAAATCAAACGTATATACAAATGTTCGTTACACTGTTGGTTACCATAGTTGTATTCAGAGCTTTAACTAATTGTCTCTTTTTTTGCAAAGTCCACACTGATTGGTTCAGTTGCTTTAAGACACAATTAACAAGACTCGTTATTCTTTTCTACTCTGTTGTTACAATACAGTCTGTGATAATTTGACTTTAAAATTCGTCACTGTGCACTCTTTAACGCTAAACTCGCAATTCTACGCAATCCAGATATTCTGATGTAATAATACTCAATTAAGCCAACGAGAAACTCAGAAATTTCTAGTAATATGATGCAATAATCCTACTGTTGTAAATCAATCGTTAATTCATAACAATTGAACCACACAATGTATGATTCGTAAATAGTTATATAAATAAACTTACCATAAAATATCGCTTCTAAAAATAACTAAATATGACACCGCGCTATATAAACTTTGTGAATCATAACTTTTGTTTTAAACTTAAACTAAAACAGTCATGTTTTCTTATGTCTGTCAAGCTATTGCATGTTAAAACAGATAAAATGCAATTTAATAAAATAAGCAATAATGCTCTGTTACGGTTCAATGGAATAAAATATCAGTATTTAAAGTTAATAAATAGTCTATAAAATGCCTTGTTCTCTCAGTAGCCATTTAATATTCAAAGAATGCAGAAATGCAAGCCTACTGTACTTGAAATCATCATATCAGTAGCTTACAAAAATTAGATCGTAGTTAAGATTTTTCAATATGTAGTCTATCAGTTGAATTAAAATACAACTAATACAATATTTTCCTCGCTATATTCGCATGCCCATCAGAAACTCAATATAGAAGATCCCTAAACACGGTCCAACAAGTCAGCGAAGAGGCACAGGCATGTATACCAATATGGCTATAGCTGGATAATCCAAACGTTGTGACTGCTTATAGATAGTGGCAGATATTCAAATTAATCAACGTATGTCTAATAATTCAAGTTCTGAAAGTCAGAATTTAGGTCAAATGGTGAAACTTTGTCTAGAGTACCATTAGCCTCTATGGCTTTTCCAATTCCATTCTCATTTTGTAGCTGTTTCAGCATCTTTCCATCAACAATGCTGTGAATTTCTCGATTAAAAGATCTTAGTAAATTAGTAAAATATTGGTATTATATTATATGGATAATACGGAATGCTAATGTTCATTTACACTTTGTTTTAAGGTATTTTCAGGCCACAATATGTGATGTATTTTACATAATATTTCTACTTAAGTAGCTGACCCATTATCCAAGTGGCATGAACCTTATGTGGCGAATTGGTGTTAGTACTATATGATCAGAAAACCTGATGGAAAGGAGGGGAGCCTTCGCCTCAATGGCAATCAATTCAATGCTGCCCAAAAGGCCTGTCAAGTTTCTGCAATGGCACCATACAACTAAATATGCAACAGGTCTTAATGCTGAAGCAGCATTACTAGGAGATGGCCACAAAGTAGATCAATGCCTTGGTCTTATAAAATCAAGAGGAATACCACCTATGTCAAATGACAGCCCGATCTCTCAACTGAAGGAAGAAGTATGCCAGCTATTTGCGGAGCTGGCACAGAGGAGAAAAGCCTTGAGCTGAGTCAAGATAACATCCTTGCCACTACCACAACCAATTGTCAGTAAACTGCCACATTGGAGGAGCCTGCTGACAGTGTTGAGATGAGGGGAGTTGGACCTGAGGCTTGCCATTAGGTAAGTGCATATTTCTTGTATCTTATGTACTGGTGTAAATACTATGAAAATTGTACTTGTATGAAGTGTTGTAAGTTATCGGTACTCATGCATTTTTTTTCATATTTGAAATTTGATTATTTATTAAGTGTATTACAAAGTTTGTAACGAGAAAGAATAAACTAGTTTTAATTAAGAAAGGACTTGTATCACTGAAGTTTCATGGGCAAGAAATTATACAGGAAATTGTCAAACAGGCAGATACGTAACAAATTGGTGTCAGGAATGGGATGGAAAAGAAGAAGGAAGATGGAAACGAGAAGTGGCAAATCAAACTACAGCTTAGCTGATTTGATGGCAGCAGTACAAGAACAGCAAAATAAACAAGAAGAACGAGAAAATAAACAAGAAGAGAGATTACAGCAGTGGTTGGAGGAGAAAGAAAAGAAACAAGAAGAATGAGAAAAGAAACAAAAAGAGCGATTACAGCAGTTGTTGGAGGAAAAAGAAAAGAAACAAGAAGAACAAGAAAATAAACAAGAAGAGAGACTACAGCAGTGGTTGGAGGAAAAAGAAGAGAGACTACAGCAGTGGTTGGAGGAGAAAGAAAAGAAACAAGAAGAGAAGCTACAGCAGTGGTTGGAGGAGAAAGAAAATAAACAAGAAGAGAGACTACATCAATGGCAAGAAACCCAGCACCAGTAGCAACTGGAACAAGAAATGAAACTAGAAGAACGAGAAAAGAAACAAAAAGAAAGTATCCAACAGTTGAGAGAAAGCCAGCTCACACAAATGGAAAAGATTAGTAAATTTCAAAGTGAATTAAATACATTAAAGGATGATTTACTGTCATTTACACAAGGAGGATATATTAGCTATGGAACTAATCAGCCCAGACAACAAGAAGCCCCTTCCAGACCCCGCAGCTAAACCCTAATGCAAACATCTTTAGTCCTGCCAGAAGTCACATTCCAGACATGAGTGTCAGCAATAGGGGTGATCTAGTACGAAGAAAGCCACAGGAATTCGATGTAAAGGCACCATGGGAAGCATATAGAGCACAATTTGAGCTACTGGCAGAAATGAATGAATGCAAAGAGAAGAAGAAAGCAGTGTACCTGGCAACGAGACTGAAGGGACAACTACTGGAAATACTTGGACAGTTGTCAGCAGACGACAAGCACAACTATAGAGC